CCCCTGGAAGGGTGCAACCAGAGGGGCCCTTACCTGTCTCCATCAGCGGCTCCTTCTGCTCCATCATGTGGGAGTCAAAACTGAAGTCATCATAGTCAATCCCATCCAGGCACTAGGTGACGGGAGGGAAGGGGAGCGTGATGAGTGTGTTGGGCCGGAATCCCCCAACTACCCTGGGCGGGTGACGGCAGCTTGGCACAGCAGCCCGTTCGGGCAGGCACAGATCCCTGTCCCTCCCCGGGAAGAGAGGAGGGCAGGTGCAGACCCCTCAGTGCCCACCCCCGGAGGCTGACACAGACCCTCCCGCCTCCCAGCCCGGAAGCAGGCGCGGACCCCCACCTCCCACCCTCCCCGTGGGGTCGGGCACTGCCCCGTGCCCAGCTCCGGGGCCGGGAGCAGGCAGGACACGCGCCCGGGCCGCTCCGCTCCGATCCGTGCCGCACTCACGGGCTGGAACTGCTCGTCCATGTCGGCGCGGGGCCGGCCGCCGGCCTGCGGGGAGAGGGTGGGGGTTGAGCGGGGAGCGGGGCTGCAGGAAGGCACCGCCGCTCCGGAAAGTCCCTAGAAACCCCGCCGAGCCGGGAAATGACGGGACCGCGCGTCACCGCCCCGCCCCGCCCGGGACACGGCCCGGGCCGGCCCGGGGCACGGCGCGGGGGCCGCGGGACGCCAGGGCCGGCCCGGCACGGCCCGGAGCGCGGCTCTGCTCGGCCCGGCCGCTCCCGCGCCCGCCGGCGGCCGCTCGGGGCAGCGGGACGGGCTGTCCCCTCCTCGCCTGGGAATTTCGGACTCGGAGCCCCGGGCGGGCTGGAAATCCCGGAGCACTCCCGCCCGCCTCCCCGGGGCGTTCTCGCCCGGGCGCTGCCTGGCAGCTCCGGGGCGCCAGATGTGCCGTATTTTCCCCTCGGGAGTACGGAGGGATTTGCCCCACGCCGTCCCCAGCCGCCTGTCCCGCTACGGGTGCCAGTCCCGCCGCGCTGCCATGAGCCCTTGCCCGGCCAGACCTGCAGTGCAGCACGGCTGAAACCACTCGCAGAAACCCCTGCGTTCCCCAAGATCCCCACCCCACATCATCCATCCTGCACAGGGATGTGTCTCCCACACCGGGATGTCGTCTCCAAGCCCCTATGGACTCAAACAGGAGTCGCCCCGAAGTGCTGTCCCCAAGCCCACTGGCTCCCCCCTGGACATGGGAATTTCTCCATCACTCTGCAGAGTCAGCAGCCCCTTGCCAGGCACCCAAAGGGGTGCTTTCCCTCTCCCCCGTTTCAACTTACACAGCAGCCCCGGCATCCTTCCCGCGGAGGTGGCCAGAGAGAGGCATTCGCTATCCGTGTTCCCATTGCCTCCTTCTCATTGGCTTCAGAGTGGAAGGGGCAGCCCCAGAGCTCCCTGTGGGAGCATCTCCCACCACCCCAGCACGCAGCGCTGGATGCTTCCCGCCGACCCCAGCAAGGCACTGCCAGCAGCAGGGCCCACAGCGCTCACACCCTCCTACTCACCGAGGAGGAAGAGGTTGGTCTCAGCAACCCGTTCAGCCCCAGCATGGCCACAGGGACTGCCAGTACCACACACAGGAGTTCCGCTGGGGCCAAGGTCTGCCTGACCACACAAAACCACCGGCGACTTCTAGCAAAGGGGCAGGATCAGGGGAGAGCCTACGGCACGCTCCGCATTTCTTCTCACTAACCAATGAAAAGAAAAAAAAAACCCCATATCTGACTCCATTTCTGAATCAGTGGTTGCTGCAGGTCTCACTCAGGGGATTTTGAGTGTGTGGGAGAAGAGGGGAAGGAAGGGGATTGTTCAATCCGTGCGTGACTCATATTCTTCAGAAGCTGAACAGAGCCTTTTCAAGGAGATTTTTCAGCCTCTCAAGTCTTCCAAAGGGACTGTCCTGTGACCTCAAGCCTGAGGTTTTTTCCGGTTGGCCTGCCACCTAAGCACAGAGATGCATCCCAGGCAACTGTGCAGCCTGGGACAGGGGGTCTGTGGGACCTGCAAGTGCAGGGGAGGGTGCAAGGAGAGGTAGACATCCAGCACTGAGAAATGAGGTGGGGACCTTCCTCCTATCATTCTGCAGGGGCTTCTGAAGCCTAGGAACATGGACACAACCCCCTGGTGGTCTGTGGGAAGCAGCACAGACTGCCAGCTGTTCGGGTCCCATTGACCATCCCACCTGGACAGCTTCAGCCTGCCACCACGTCACCCACCTCATCTGCTCTGCAGAGAGGTGAACAAAGGGACAAGCAACCTTCCTCAGTGGGCTGGGAACAGCCACCTACCCTACCCACTGAGCCTGGAGGGAGAGCCCAGGCCTGAAGCTGCTGGATAAGAGCAGACTGTGCCCCTGGAATAGCGCAACTCCCCTTCTCCAGTGGCATCAGCTCCATCTCCTGTTGAAGGGTTTTCACAGCTCACTCACTGCTGCCAAGGACACTTTCCACTTGCTGCAGCAAACAGCATGACTAAAGAATGTCATGAACTTCTACCTGTGTCTCCCCACCCCACACAGCTCTGGCTCTCTCTGGAGGTTGCCAGCCATATCCCTGCATCCTTGTGCAGTGCGTGCTGGAGGAAGCCCACCTTGCTTGCTGAGCAGAGATGGTGTCACCACCTGCTTCCTTGTTCCTGGAAAAGCAACCTCAGGCAACCTCAGAGCTGCTCTCCAGGTGAAGTGCTGCCTCCTGTGCCAAGCAGCATGCCTGTCTGGCCTCCAGGACTGGGGTTTCCCCTAGGAGTGCAGCATATGCAGCTTTTATCCCCCACACATGCCAGAAAGGAATGCATCTCTCCTTTCTCCATCAGTAGCATTCCCTGCTCTGTCTTCCCAACACATCTGCCCTGGATCATGGGCTTGAACTGCAGACCCCATTTACTTGGCTAATTCCTCCCCATCTTCACACACTCCTAGGGTTCAGGCAAGATTCGCTGGGAATGGGGGAAAAGAGCAGCAATCCAGCTGCAAGGCACTGCCCAGAGCAGCATCAGCTCCCTGCCCTGGAGTGCAGCACTGCCACAGCACCCTTGCCAGATGGCACAGCCTCCCTGTGCCAGCCAGAGCACTTCAGTTAAGGGCTAGCCTTTGGCAAACAGTGCGAGTTAAAGCCAATCTTCCATGCCTGCAGCTCCTTGAACGTGACCTAGTAATGCAGGTGCTATTTTCTTTCCTCCCATGACAGTCGGCTGACTTGCAGAGCTGATGCCCTGCAGGCAGGAGGGAAACACACATCAGCCTATCAGAGGCAGGAGAGTTTAGTAGCCATGGGAAAGGCTGCTCCAGAAATGTAGGAGGCAGCAGGAGCACAGCCCTGCTCTGAACTGTGCTGCTGTACAGCTGACATGTTCCAGCCACTCAGCTGACTGCTCCCCTAACATACTCTTCCCTTTGCATTTTGATTTTCCTTGGGTCTGCTAACACCTGCGAACAACAGCCCTAAATACCTGGCCTTGCTTTCTGCAGGAATCCTGTGCTCTGCTCCATCCCTGGAGTCCCAGCAGCTACTGCTGAGTCTCTCTCATATTGCGTTCACAGTGACTTTGCTCTGAGACCCTTCCTGGAAACCAAGTCCTTGACCAGCAAGCATGGCAGAGAGAAATCCCCTCTTCCTGAAAGCTTTCTAAGCCTTCTTCTCCTGACAGCCTGCTTCTGACCACTGAAGCCATTCGTGTATCTCTGCATAAAATGCCTTTACTCCCATTGTGGCTATCAAGTTGGTTTTGGCAAACCCCAGCCACCACTGATCTTCTGGTTTTCTCCTCTGAGGGCCTGTAAATCAGCTCTGCTGCTATGACCGATTAACCCAGCTGTATGCCCTTAGAGAAGCCCTGCCAGTGTCAGCCCGGCGCTCGCTGTCTGTCACTCTCTCCAGTTTGCTCTCTGCCCGCAGTACCACCGCCGTGTTGGTGCTCACAGCTCCATTGGGGCTATGGCTTGCCGAGCCTGCGGGCACGGATCTGATTCCCCCCGGAGCGGGCAGCAGGCCAGCCCAGCTCCAGCGCAGGAGGGCTCAGAACGCGAGAGGGAGAGCTGCAGGATGGGGCAGAACCCAATGGCAACACAGAAAATAGGGAACTTCCCACCGGCAGGGAAAAGGGTGCAACGGCCAGAGCTGGGACTGGCTGTCTCCTCTCCCCTCCAAGAGAACAAATGTCTCTCCAACCTGGATCTTCCCGACACCCCCACCCCAGCTGGCCGCATGGCCGGCCAGAGGCAACCCGGGACCGGCTGGAGCGAGAGAGAGCCCAGGACCCTTCCGCTGGGACGGGCAGCCCGAGCACAGGAGTTTTGGCCTCGGGACGCTCAGCTCCCTTTCCCTGGGAAGCGTTCTCCCGCTGGCGCGGGGAGCTCTGCCCGCCGCTGCTCGGGCGCGGCCCCCCGGCACCCCCAGGACCCGCACCCCGCTCACCTTCATCCCCGCCGCAGGCTGGCCGCCGCGCCCCGGCCCGGCACCGGGAAAGTCCCGAACCGGCTCCGCCTCCCGGGGCTTCCCGGACCCGGCTCCGCCCGGCGGGAACAGCGGGAGGGCGGGCCCGGGGACCCCCGAAGGGACGGGCAACTCCGGGCTGCTGCGTCCCGGCGACATCGCCTGTCCGTGGCACTCGGGTCAGGGAACCGAGCCCCGGGCTCATGGCTGTGCCCCGAGGGGACAGGACCCTTCACCCCATTCCCAAGGCCGTTCCCAAGGCCAGCTGCTACTCCAGCGGGGAAGGACCGTCTGCCTCGCCCATGGATGATTTTCACTTTTATTATTGTAAATTCACTGTTGTCTTTATATATACTTTTTAAAAAATATATTAGATACAAAAGTCAGAAAGGCTCCTCTTTGAACTACATATACTGGTGGATTTACAGGCCGGTTTGGAAAAAGTGGGCAAATAGGAAAGCCCAACTTGATCAATGCGCGCAGCAGCAGCAGCAGTAAATGCCCCTCTCCAGGGACAAGAGGACTATATATATATATATATATGTACGTGTATATATATATATATTTGTAGATCTATGCATACACACACATGCACGCACACACAGCACTCACAGCCCTCGACACCTCAGCCCCCTGCCGAGGACACGCCAAGGATGCTGCGGCTGAGCGGGATGAGCTCCCGCCAGGCAGGCAGCGGGCAAGGCACCAGAGGACGGATTTGGGAGTCCCAGAAGAAAGGGGCACACGCTTCTTCTGTTCCTACAGAAGTGCTCCCCCTTTCCATGGCTGCACTCCCTGGGACAGCTTGGGCTGGCAGCAGCACAGAGCAGAAGTCCCCTGGCCAGCAGGCACGGTGCCTGCAGGACATCCCCTACATGATGGTAAATTTGAAGACTCATTTCCCAAATTAGCTGGAAGCAGGGAAATGCTGTGACCAGGGAGGTGAAACCTGCCTCAGCAATTCTCAAAGCTGAAAAAATGCAGGAAAAGCCATTGACTGATGGCATAGAAGGCCTGAGCAGTGAGAGCCCAGGCATGGGGCACAGGGGTCAGCACAGTCCAGCTGGGGCTGCTGGTGCCATCCTGCAACAGAGTGAGACACCACCCCCACCTGGGAAGGCAGGAGGGAGAGAGCCCCTGCTGCCATCCTCACTGGGGTTCAAACAGACTGACAGTGCAGCCACTTCCCAAGGGAAAAGACACTCTGTGTTTTTGGCTCCTCTGACAGTCACAGTAGCCAGATGGAAGGCTTGCTTACCCCTATGGAGGTGGGAAGAACACAGATCTCGTCCCCTTTCAGCCCACCACATCCCTTTCAGGAGGAAGCTTCAGTATGATTGCCTTCAGCAGCCTGACTCACACCAGGTTACCCCAGAGGCTCAGGGGCAGATCCTGGCTCTGCTGATACCAGGATGGCATCCCCACAGCCCAGCAGTGACCCCAAACCCTGTGGACAGGGAGGGGACAGCTCCTGCAGGGGCAGCAGCTGCCAGAGGAGCACTGGACACAGCTCCTGCTGAGAGTGGAGGGCACCGCAGGCCCACAGGCACACACACACAAAAACACATAAACACAAACACACACACACACAAACACATACACACACACACACACACACACAAACACACACACACACACACAAACACATACACACACACACACAAACACACACACACACACACAAACACATACACACACAAACACACACACACACAAACACACAGCAGCGGGGTTTTCAGAAATATTCAAGATGGGGAGTCACTGGCAGAGCCCAATTTGGGGTCTCCACTGTGGGCTGCCTCCTGTGGGGGTCAGGCCATAGCCAGGCCCTCCACGTGGCTGTGGATGTGGGCTGTACTGGACAGGCTGCTCTCGCCTTTGTAACTTTTGGGGGCCCGGCTGGCTTTCAGCAGGACCAGGAAGGTGTCTGTGGAGATGGCCCCAAACTCAAAGGTGAATGTGCCGTAGAAAACCAGGACATCAATGATGAATATCCACTCACACAAGGCAGCCACGTGCTGTAGCACAAAGCTCTCCTGGATGAAGAACACACCACCTGAGGGTATCCCAGTCAAGGATAGTACAGCGAACCCCATCCACCCCAGAGAGCCGTGTCTCACTGTTACTGCATGCTGGGGTGGACGTGAGTACCCATCCTCTGCAGGACAGCTACACCACCACCACTCCTAACACTGAGAAACCCCCACATGCTTCTCCCAGCACCAGAAAGGCCCTGGCACAGGTGAAGCGGTGGCATACATGCCCAAACCAGCCTTGATAAATCACTGATGCCAGGCTGGGATTATCTGAAGAGGCCAGGGCAGGATGAGCTCAGGCTGCAGGTCTCTGTGCAAGCCAGGTGCCCAGATCCTCAACTTCCCCACACTCCTTGTCTCTTCCTTAAGCCAGGCTGGTGTTCTCCATCCTCTCATAGGATGCAGTCAAAGATGATAAAACTCAACCTTTGAAACATGGTTTGGACTGTTGCATCCCAGTCCTGCAGCACCTCCTGTCCTCCTGTGCTGCAGGCTGGCCCACACCAGAGACAGGCCCTGCTCCCACTCCTCCAGATCCTACCACTACCAGAATTTTCTTATCCTTCTCTCATCCCCACCAAAAATCTGCAGGGAAACCTACTGCAAGAGCTACTGTGGGTGAGGGGAGGAGGTACATTCCCCAGCCCTCCAGGCAAAGCCTCCAGCAGTACCATCCCTTCTGCAAGGGAGACCAAGATCTGGGAGAGCTGCAGAAGCAGGGACCTGACCTGTACAGTGCAGAGCCCTCTGCTCACTCCTCCCACGCCAGAAAGATCCCAGCCCTCTCCCCACACTGTCCACACCACAGCTCGCTGCTTGCCCGCTGCCAGTCCCAGAGCTTAGAGAGCAGAATGGCCACAGCAGATGGGCACCACTCCTGTCCTCCTTGTCCTTACATGCCCTTCCTGTCCCTCTCAGCTGGCATGGCCCTGCAGCAGTCCTGCCTCTCCCAGCTCCCAGCCTGCCTGCTCTAATGACAGAGCAGGACCCTCTGATATGTGACAGGCCTGCCAGCACCCCCAGGCTCCTCTTGTGCAGCTGATCTCAGCCAGACCCCAGCCAGCCTCTTTGGGATCCATGGACACTGCATGCTTTTTCCCCTTCCTGCCCAATAACCACTACCTTGTTTCCCAATTTATCCTCAACCTCAGTCCAAATAAACTCCTCCCTCCTCAGCCACGCACTTGGGACCATTCTTTGAGCTCCAGCCCACCTGATGCCATGACCTCTCTCCCTGGTAAAGTGTTCGCAGCCCCCGTTACCTGCTCACCAACCCCTTCCTTGTCCTATGGGCAGGTTGGCTGGCATGTGCCCAGAAGTTCTGGCTGGCAGAGTGCCAGCCAGAAGTGCCACCTGGCACCTTCACACAGTACTTTTGTACTCAGCTTCGCTCAGAGAGGTAACCCAGATGGACTTTGCATTGCCAAGGGTTCAAAATACCTTTGTCCCATTAAAAAAGCCCAACAATTAACCAGACCTGAGTGGTGTGTGACTGGAGCCTGCAGCAGTGGCTGGGCTGCAGCAGCCAGGGCATGGCTGGTTTGGGGCATGCCAGCACCCCAAGGACACCCACCAGCATCCCTTCCCCTCCTCAGCTCTGGTACTGCTGCTCCTCTAGCCTACAACTGCAGGGAGCTGCCCACGCTCAGTGCCCTGCCCAGCTCCTCTCCTGGTACCATGCCTCATTGCCAGATAGGAATAGAGAATTTGGGGCATATACCCCACTGTGAGGACCACTTTTCACCAGCCAGTTCCCAATGTTCTTCCCACACCCTTCAGGATACTGAAGACGAGGGTGAAGAAGGCCACGGTGGTGAGGATGCTCCGCAAGTGGCCGGTCCAGTACTGCCCTCGGGTTTTAGCCATGCGGTAGGTGAGGATGGACTGCAGGAGCAGGAACAGCATGCTGGTGGGAAAGGCCACCCCTGCCCCAATGTAGTGTAGCACCTTGGCGTGATCCACCTGTGGGGAAGAAACCATCAGTGCCAACTCCCTGGGACACTGCCTATCACAGCGCGACTCTGCTCCAGGAGTTGCACTCCTGCCCAGGAAGGGGTGCAGACAGCGCTGGGAGCAGGTCCAGGCAGCTCACCCTGTGCCTGACTCCTGGCTGAAGAGCAGACTTGGATCCACCATCTACTGCTGGGATCTCAAAGAGCTCTGTTTCTTTTATCCATGGGCCAGCAGCCCTGCTGTGCCCAGGGGCAGGGGCTGCCCTCTGCCCTGAGCGGCATCAGGAACTGCCTGCACCCCTCCCGAGGGTCAGAGCCCAGCGCCGCTCACCACGGCGGGGCCACAAGGGGGATCGGGGCCTGCAGAGCTCCTCCCGGGGCTGCTGTGGGCAGCAGCCTCCTGCCAAGGGGAGGGACTGGCTGCCGGGAGCCCGGGCCTGGCAGAGCAGGCAGGGGCTGAGCACCGCCGTGCGCTGCCAAGCTGGGCCCGCTACGCTCCCCGTGAGCACAGGCTCTGCCCCGACAGCTTCCTGGCATCACCCTCCGAGCAGGATCAGGAGCAGCCTGAACAGCATGTCCCTGCACACGTCCATGGAGAGGACAGACAGTGCAGAGGGGGCACAGGTAAGGGTTTAATGAAACCCAGCAGCTTAATCTGCACTTGAACTATGAATACACGAAGAGGACGCCCAGTACCCTGGGAAGCACGGCACTGACTCAGGGGAAGAGAAGGATTGCATGGATGGGATGCTGGACCAAACTGACAGCCCCAGACCCTACCCTGCTGAGCACAGCCATTGCCCCCCCAGCCAAGGCCCTCTCCTGCCCCCCTACCCCAGGGGCTCCCGAGGAGATGCCTTACCTGAAAGTTGCCCACCATGGTGAGGCCAGCAGCGCAGACCCAGCCAGTGGCCAGCCCCAGGGTGTTGAGGAGGGACGGCCCCAGGCGCTCCAGGAGGTGGGCATAGCGCAGCAGGCCCACCAGGATGACTGCGGGGGGGAAACACAGCCCTGTCACACGCCACTGCCTGCAGCCCCCTCATCCACTGCTGCCCCATGCTCCATGCTGCTGGAGGGTGCAGGGCAGCCTCTCCCAGCCCTGCTTTCCCAGCAGCAGAAGGCACTCACCCATGAAGGAGCCCAGGCTGCAGATGAGGCTGAAGAAGCAGCTCTCGGGAGGCAGGGTGCCACACTTGCTGCGGGGACAAACAAGACCCACAGAGCACTCAGACAGGGGGCACTGGGCTGTGTGCCTGGCTCCCTCCTGGGCTGCCCTGGAGGGGTCTCAAAGCAGCTCTGCCCCCACGCTGAGGCTGCTCACCTGACGAGGGGGATGTGATCCAGCGTGCAGCAGGAGCTGGGGCCGTCCATGTCACAGGACTGGTTGTAACTCCTGCCAGCAGCAAAGGAACAGGGTTAGGAGAGCCCAGACACTGCCTAGGACCCTCCTGTCTCCTGCCCTGCAAGGGCAGCCGAGTTGCTGTGCAGTGAGTTCAGCCCAAACCCAGGGATGTGCCCACAACCTCCAGGGAGTGACCCACTGCCCAACAGGCAGAGTCATGCCTGTGTTTCCACAGCCTGTCCCCCTGCTGGCGCTGCTGCTCACCCAGAGCCCCCTTCCTTGAGGAAGAGGCTGTGCGGGCCGGGTGTGGGCTCAGGGGGTTCTGGCAGCCCCACACCCAGACAGGAGCAGCAGCACCCACCTGCCAGCCCCCTCACATATTCCCGGCATGGAAGCACAAGAGAAGCCGGGCACGCAGCCATTGACAGCTCCAGGTTTGCAGGGGATGGGTTGGAATGCTGAGCTATGCGGGGAATGGCCCCCACAGCCACAGGCACCCCCGGGGCAGTGCCACCGCACCTGGGAGGGCGGGAGCTGGGAGGCACTGCCTGAGGGACAGCATGACCAGAGCCAGCCCCAGGCTGCCCTGGAGCCAGGCACACCAGCAGTGCACCCGGGCTGGGCAGGGCTCTCTCTGCTGCCTGCACCCACCACAGTGCGCTGGGAGCACCTCCTGCTCCCACAGAGCCCGTGAGTCCAGCACCCCAAGCTCTTATCAGCCTTCCTGTACCACAGCTGCTGCCTGCAACCCTAACCAAATTCCACCACGGGGTTCATGTGCCCTCAGCCTCACCGCTCTCCCAGGGGCTGGCACACACTGGACTGGGGTTTTGTGTCTCTTTGCTGCAGCTTCACTCATGCATCCAGCACCTCTGCCTGGCAAGGCCTAGTGGAACCCCTGCTCACACCACAGGCAGTGAGTGCAAAGTTCTCTGCCCCAAAGGGCCTCTTCAGGCACCCCGAGTCCCACGTGGCAGGGGGACTGAGGCGGGACAGCACTGTGGGGGGAGCTGTGGGGGGACAGTGCTGCCCTGTCCCTCGCCCAAGCTGTCCATCCACCACCTCCAGCAATGCAGCGAGCACATGGTTAAAAAAGCCTTTTTGGAAAGGGCTGGGCTGAGCTCTGATGTTTTTTCAGTCTCCTCAGTTTACTGGTGGCTTTGTTTTCCAACCACTAAACTGAGGCGTGGAGCCCCAGGCCTCGTCAAAGGCTGCTCTTGGGGCTGTGTTTGGTTTGGGAGGTTTTTTTTATTATTATTTTGTTTAAAGCAAGCAGCCCCAGGCCGGGAAGCATTATTCGTCATTAAGGGCTGGCTGTGCGGCAGAGACAACCCGACACACACATTCTTCCCAGGGCAGAATCAGCCATCAGGCAGGAAATGGCAGCAGGATTTTTTTTTTCACTTCTTCAAACACTCCAGCAAGAATTAAACTAACATGGATCTTCCTGGGCAGATTTTTAAGGCGACACTACAAGCAAAAAACCTTGCAGAAGGAGTTGCCAAGAGACCAAGCAGTGTTTCTTTTCCCAGCCCTTGTCTCTTCCACGCCTCATCCCCCATCTGGGGGTGTTGCAGGCAGTTCTGTCCATGGGGTGTCTGGGTGCTGCAGGACCATCCCATCCCCCTGGCACTGCCAGATTTAGCCTCAAGCAAGCAAGTCACAACCTTTTCCATGGAGACACACAGCTCTCTGTAATTCCCTGACCACTTATTTTCATACTTTCTCCATGCTGTGTTTTTTGAAAGGCCTCCTTCTCCCCTGCCTGGTTTGCAGCAAGGCTGGACTGTTCAGCAGAGTAGCTGTTACCACAGAGAGCCTGAGCAGGGGAGGGAGGGCAGCCCAGCCCTGACTGCAGCTCGACCCCAAGCTGTTCTGCTCCCAACAGCCACTGGGCTGGGCAGGAGGCATGTGCCCTGTAGCATTTGCACCCCATCACCACCAAGTCTGTTGGGGAAGAAGGCAGCTCTGTGCCCCTTTACTGCTCCCACCATCCCCAACCCCCCTTCAGCACAGTCAGGGTGCAGGGAGTGCCTCAGCTACCCAGTGGTCTAGCACAGCTTGGCATACTTTTAAGTGGGACAGGTATGGAGGGACTTGGCATTATGAGGTCTTTAATCAAGCCAGGATGTGCCAAAAAGCCTCTGCTTCCCTGCAGGCCTTACCAGTTGTGGACAGGGCAGATGTGGTTGTTGGACAGTGCCATGGCATATCTGGAGGAGAGACAACAACAGGGTTACCACAGCCACCCACCTCCCTGCACCCCCTTTCCCTGCCAGCACCCAGAGCAGCCCCAGGGACAAGCTGCCAGAGCAGAGGATACGGGCCCTCAGTGCCTGCCAGGGCCAGCACTCATCCTGTGGCACCTCCCAGCTTTACAAAGCAGGAAAAAGAAAAACAAGTGCATGAGCTTGTACTCCACAGAACTGCCACTGCTGGGACCAGGTTCCCCTGCCTTATACCCCCATCCCTGCTGAGAGCCACCTCCTGCTCCAGTTCAGTGCAGCTGCTTCTGTGGGCCCTCATCGTGCTGCTGTGCTCCACGGGCTCTGGGGGACTGCTCTGTCACAGAGCCTCCCTGGCATGCCCCTGCCATCGGACTCTCCACCAGCCTGCAGCTGTGCCAGGTGATACCCAATGGTGCTGGCCCTGCCGTGCTTCCCCCAGCCCCTGGCTGGCCAGCAGTGAGCTAAAGGAAGGGTGGAAAAGCAGCCAGTGCACTGGGAGGGCATCGTGGGGACAGCAGCCCCATCAAGCATGTGGCTGTGGAGTCACCCTTGTGCCTTAGTCAGTGTAACAGGGGGTTCATGACATGCATCCTGCTCCACTGCAAGGGCTCTCAGCCCTATGGCCCCCACCCCAGCTATCCAGGAGCCCTCCTGCCCAGCAGCTACAGCAGTGGGCAGCACCTTGTTGTTCAAATCACTGGCGGTTGTGAACAGCTCAGGTTAAAAATAGCCCCCAACATCAGTATGAAAACTCCTCTCCTGCCCAAGCTGGCCGTGTAACAGCTGGGCTGCAAAAGGATGATCCCAGAACAGAGGCAAAGAGCAGGACAGGTGGGAGAAACCAAGGAACAGCATTCCCAGCCACCAAGGAGCAGAGCCCTCACCGAGCCATCTCCCAGCACAGGTATCCAAAAGACCCACTCCCAGGGCAACTCAGGCTGTGAGGATCATGAGCAGCAACTCCCACCTGCGCTGCTTTGGTCTGGAGGCCATCTGCGCCCCAGGGCCACTCACGGGAGACAGCCCATGCTTTGCAAGGTGTCCAAGGGAAAAACTTGCAGCATAAGTTCCTAGCACCAGGAACAATCGGCTTTGTCGTGAAGACCTGCGTTCATGTGGGGTGCATTTGCTCCATCCCATACCCCAGGAAGTCCCACCACCTGTATTGAACCTCTGATGCCTTTGAAAAAAGTCCTTCATCCACTGCTTACCTCTGTTAAGGCCTGAGAAATGGACTGCTGGAGTGGACCAGTATTGTTCACCCAAGTGACACAGCCTCTACTCCTAGCACAAGGCTCATCCATCCATCCATCCATCCATCCATCCATCCCATGGGATGGGTGCCCACACACGGACCGCATTCCTGGTGCTGCAGTACCTGGGCTAGTGGCGTGGCTCCCAGTGCCGTCCCCGGGCCACCTGAGCACTCAGGCCGGGACGGGGGTGCGCAATTCCGCAGGGTGTCAGGGATTTAAGGACAGGGAGGAACATGCCAACCCTGCTGCAGGGACGCGGAGACCACGCAGGGCGGCTGTGGGAGCCCCTGAGTGTCCAGAAGTCTCCCCGCAACCTCCAGCCCGCTGCATCCCACCCTAAAGCATCCTCCAACCCCCGGCCCTCAGTCATCCCGCAGCACCCGGCCCGGGCCCCGGCCCCAACGCCCGTGGGTGGGGGGCTGGCGGCGACCCCGCGGCACTCACACGATCCACATGCCGGTGATGGTGAAGGCGGGCAGCGTGACGGGCAGGATCCCCCAGGCCGGCATCCTGGGGCCTGGCATGCCCCGCCGGGCTACGGGCGAGCGGGGCCGCCGGGCCGCCGCCGGGCCGCGCTCCCCATGGGCTACGGGGTCAGGCCGGGGCCGGGCTGGCGGGCGGAGCGGGTCCGGCCGTGCGGAGCGGCGCCGGGACAGCCCAGGCCGGCCCCGCCCCGGGGCAGCGCGGGTCCCGCTCGGCGGCAGGGCCGGGCCCGCCCCGTCCGGCGGCAGCGGGGAGCGGGACGGGCCGGCGCGGCCCCGGCGCCACGTGGCGGCCGCGCTGCCGGCCCGGGGAGCAGGTCGGTGCTGGGGAGGGCAGCCGGGAGCAGCACAGAGCGGAGCCGGGCTCCGCGGGGCGGGCGGCCCCACAGCGCGCAGGGACAGACTGTGTCGCAGCGAGGGACAGGCTCCCCTAGAGCGCAGGGGAGGGCAGGCTCAGCTCAGCGGCGAACGCTCCTCCCGGGAGCTTTGGCCGAGGCTGACCCGGGCATCGACAGCCGGCTGCAGGGCTGGGGGCCTCAGCCCCCTCAGCTTCAGGTGATGCCGTCTCTGCCCGAACGCTTCAGTTCACTCTTCTTCCATGGGGCTCAGCATTCTGTCCTGAGGACAAGGCTCTGTTTGCACGCCAGGAGTGACTGTCCTTGTGCTCTCACTAAATGGCTGCAGCCGCACTGCCAGCCAGTGCCTGCACACACTCCCGACCCGGTTACCCAGACCTCTCTCTTTCCAGACGCTTTCTACAACTAGGGATTAAGTTTAGCAGCCAACCCTGCTGCCCAGAGAAAATTCCATTTTTCTCACAGAGAAAACGTGAGGAAAGGAAGCACAACTTCCCCTGGCAGAGGAGCAGCGCTGTGGTAAGGCCACGGACGTCCCATTTCCCTATTGGGAACTCAGCAGGAACTTGCCCTCTTGGCCCCCGGCTGCTTGTGGGGATGTGCTTTCAAGTCCCAACACATCCTCCATCGCCAAGCGGTGTGCACAGCCCTTGAGAACGCAGCATTTGTGCTCATAAAGGCTGCACTTTGCCGTCTGCAGAGAGGAGCTGCCCGGGGACAGCTCTGACCCTGGCCGGTGTGGGAGAGGAGCGCTGGCTGCCCACCACCTCTCCCGGGCCAGGGCCCTGGTTACACAACTGCGGGAGCAGTACTGCACACTGGGAATTGTAGTCGTGGGGGGATCGCATCGTCCCCTGCATTGACTTGTGCCCCAAGCAGCCTCCCCACGGGCCCAGGGTCTCTCCTCGCTGTTCAGCCCATCAGTTCGGGGCAAGAGCTGCACTCCAGAGCTTTGCTCCCGAGCCGGCTGTGCTCCCAAAGCTGCCCCGCGCATTGCTGTCCGCCCGCCGGGAGCAGGCCTGGCCCTCCCTCTCCCGGCAGCCTCCACAGCTCACGGACAGCGGAACCGTGCCCGCTGTGCGGGGCTGCCGCCTCCAGCCGCCTTGGCAGCGCTCGGATCACTCCGGGGCCACAGGCGAGAAGCACAAGCCCCGCCGGGCTGCCTTCTGCTCAGCTGGGCCGAAAATGCCAGGCACAGTGGCTTCAGAACACATCACCCTCCGTAACAGGCATACGTTTTTCCAGAGGAGTTCAACAGCTGGCATTTATAGGGCTGAGAGTAACTTCTAAAAAAGCCAGTTCCCTGTTGATACGTCCTGGAAATCTTTCTTACAGACCTTTTGAGTATGCTCAGACCCAGTTTTTAAATTGAAATTGAAAGCAGCAGTGCTTCTGTTTCACACGTTTCAGTGCCAAATGTATGTTTTATAGTCAGGGCTTATCATTCCATAGGACTTCTCACACAAGTAACTTCATACCAATGAGGAAAACACCAGCTCCACAGTAAAGCGTTCTACAGACATCTGCTAAATCCCAGCACATATTTCTATTCTGTTTTAGCAGTAGAAGTCCTTGATATAAATGGGAACAGAAGAGGCAGGTAAATCCAACACACAGTGATGTCTGTTCAGCCTCCTCTGGAAAATACTTAGTCAGACCCTGAGAAAAATGAGAAAAAAGTCCAAGACTAGACAAAGTATATGCTAGGACAAATCTAAAGGGTACTGTTGTGAACACCACTCCTCACCAACAGCCATTAGTAGCATGACTGACTTTTATGCAATTTAACTTCCAAATAGAGTTCAAGAGATGTAGTGGTTAACATATCAGGCAGCACATGCTACCTGACAGTTGATTCTGATTTCCTTTCCGTTCAGTACTTTCCCTGTTTTTTTTCCCTGTAACATTAAACTTCACTCTTGCAAAATCCAAACAACATCCAAAAAGTTCTTTTTCTGGTTTTCCAGTCCATTCTTATTTACAGCCTAGTGAAAACTGTTTAAAGTGCAATTCTGTCTTTCCAGTCAACATTCCTTCCATTCTAGTCCCACTTCCTGCAGTTCTCTCAGGTGGCATTTGCTTTGCACCATAATTGTCTGAGTTGAGACGTAATGCTCTCAGTAGAAGCTGGGTTTGCAAACTCAGCATGTGTTAAAACACAGAATGTGCCCAAAACAGCTATCAGAAGGCAGCTGGCAAAATGGAGCTTTGCTGTCAGCTGACACCACCCCAAAAAGTCAGAGGACCACCTGCGCCTGGGGATCAAAGCCGCAGTCCTGACATCGAGGCACCTGACCAAGAGTTAATAATCTAAAGCTTTCAACAAGCAGAAAAACAGAGCTGCAAATAGAAGTGAAGGCTCAGAAAGACAAGACAGAGGGAGGGCTGGATACAGAAGCACTCCATGAGCAGCACAAGGACTCAAATGCATGAATGAAAACATCTGAGGGCTGGAAAGACATAATCTAGAGGCAGTGGAGGGTGAGGAAGAGGGCTGCAGCAGCAAAAATATTCCAGGAATGGTACAAATGGGGTTAGGGAACCAGGATTTATTACCAGGACTTTTCTAGTATGCACATTACTCTTCCCTTATGCAATATTCAGACCTTTTCTCATGCAATTTAAACGAACTCCTAAGTTTTTACCCACTTACCAAGTCTGTAAGAGTCTCTTGGAATAGAGAAGGCACTGGTGCTTCACATAGCTCGGAGGACACTGTGGCACTGCATGGATCTTGCCGTGAAACAAAGTAGAAAATCCCAGGAGGGAAGTGCAGGTGTTCAAATCCATGGCAAACACTAGCCCTGGAAGAGGCCAGCATCTCTCACACCCTCTCCAACTCTGAGTCCTGTCCATGGAAACAAGGATTTCTTCTTCATCAGAGAATCACCAATGTCAGCTGAGCTGTCACCAAGGTGTGTGTTCTGGCACCATGACCCAGATGAGTAGAGCACCTCCTCCTCAGTCCTCATCTCTGCTCCCAGTCCTGGTGGTGCATGAGTTACCAATGTAACACTAGAAATTTTACAGCCCATGTGAAGCTATTGCCATCTGAAAGAGCCAATCTCACTATTACAGCTCTGCTTTGTCCATGATGGGAACCATTCCTGATTAGTCCCTTGATGGCTAACCTCCACTGCAGCCCCCCACCCCAAGCTGACAAGTCCCCCTGTGCTCCCTGCAGACAGAGCACTGGTATATGAAGCCAGGGCACAACACCTTCACAAGCAAACTCCCCTTTTCCCAAGGCTCTGAGCCAAAGTTGGATGACAGAAAAGGAGTCTAACACCAGAACAGTCATTTACAGGATGTATTTATTACACTGTAAAAAGTCCATTGGATTTTAGCCATTTACTCTGTATGTACACTGGTTGTATTCCCACACCAACTGCAGGTTCCTCTCCTTACAGGACACACTGGGTTGGAGTCCCATCCATGCCCCTCCCAGTCACCAGGGGTATTTCCAAGATTGAAATTACTGAGAATTTAGCCAACTAGTTGAGGGAGGAGGAGGAGGAGGATGAGCAATGCAGCACTTGGCAGGCAGCCAGCTCTGCTCTGGACATGAGCGGGGAAAGAGCGGGATGTCCTTGCAGCAAGATGGAAGCACAGGAATCACTGCCAGGGCCTCAGCTGCAGGGGCCTTCGGGGGGTACGAGGACATGGGATCCCAAAAAGAAGATGCAGAAGGTGCTTTCTCTTCAGAGCCTTCAAGAGAAACCACTGCAGACCTGCTGAGCATCTGTCAGCAGGTGCCACAGATCTCCACATCTGTAGGTGAAGGGGATGTTCTCCTTTCTCCTAAGGAAGGGGCTGATGAGCCAGAGACCAATGGGTAGCGAGTGGCACAAAACACGATTGCCCCACAAGTGCTGTGTGAGGCACAGCCATTGTGCTCTGCTCTCAGCATTTCCTTCTCATCTACTCTCAGCTAGGCAGAGCCTTCTGGATTTGCCTTCTCCAACCAGAAAGCCTGATTACATTTACAGAAACAGGGATGAAAGCCCCTATCAGACTCGCCTTCTCCTTAATCTCTATTTGGCTTGGGGATTGCTGTCATCCGTGTTGCAGGAAGGAAAGCATGTACCAGCAGGCAAGAAGTCCTACGCAGCAATCTGAGAGCTGCACTGTAAGCAATCCACATTTCTAATAAAATACTCTACCTGCTGAACCCAGGCGTGCTTAGATCCCAAACAAAGCAGTACAACCAGAAGAGTCAGCAGGAAAGCTAGGGAATGGCTGGGGAATTGCCCAGGGATTGGACTGAGTAATCTTGAGAGGCAGTTCTGTACTGCAGCCCCTCTCTGGTGTGACATCAATAAGTTTTCCCTCTTTACCAGATGAACTGGTGGCAGCTTGGTCCCAGGCTGCTGGACACAGGCATTGCCTGGCCCCTGAGATTGCACAGGCAGGAAGGAGACTGGTCAGTGGAACTGGGCACTCCTCCATGGAGACAGGGATTTTTGGGCAGATTTTTAGGTGATGCCACAAGAAGGGAGCAGGATGGGACATACTCCAGAGGACTGTGGAAACGGCCCTTCTGCTCAGGTTAGCATCATATTTTAAAACAAACATGCCCACTACCAGAGAACATTTGGCCAGCATCCTCCACCCACAGAGCCTCCTCAGCAGACAGTTCTCCAACATCCTCCAACTAATTGACTTCAGAGCTTGTCATAGGGTCAGTGG